CAGTGCATTGTTACCTTTACGTGGTCTCTGTACGTGTGGCAGATCACGTAATTGTACCGCCCACTGTGTGTGACCCGCTTTTGACCTCAAGCCACAATGAATGAATGGTCGTGAATATTCTCGTTGTATGTGCGGGGAAGCTGACGATATTTCCAGATAATTATGTTCTCGAGTTTTCTTGTAAGATTGAGTAATGTAAGAAAGTGTATTTTAAGAAACTTACGCAATGAGAGAAATCTCTGGAAGAATTGTAGACTATAGAATCAGGAAAAAACAGAGAGCGACACACACACACACACACCGCAAGAGAGATTTGGGAAGGCAATTCTACCGTACGCAGGCTGTGAGAAATCTTTGACTTCTGCACCATTTCATCCTGTGGTGGCGAGTCGTCTGTGGAGAGACACTTGCAAGAAACATTTACCCGGACAAGTGAGGTGAAGAGCTGAATCTTGATCCGGAAGAGACAGTCTGTGAACTGAATCCAGTTCCAGTTTGTGGGATCATCAAGTTCCCGTATTTACGACGGTCATCTACGAAGCAGAATTAGAGTCAAAAAGACTGGAACATGTTTTCCGCGAAATGTAATGCTTTTTAAAAATCGACTTTTTTCGTAATGTAATGTTTTTAAAACAGACCGTACTTTGAATTTTTGAATTCACTTTCCAAAACCGAATTAAATGTTTCGTACCTAATATATCTTTTTGGATGAAAAAAAAAAATTGACCTAATATTTTTTTAAGACTCGAATGAAATTTTTCAGACCTAGCATGTTTTCGAAATCCAAATGAAAGGTGACAGACCAAACAATTTCCAGATTTGAATGCATTTTCCCCGACATTAAACAGCCGAAGGTTTCGAGTTCCGCACCCGAATTTCAACCACACTCAGAAAGCATCCGAATTTCGAAAGCAGCCGACTTTAAAAGCATCCGAATTTCGAGAGCTTCCAACTTTAAAAACATCGGAATATTGGAAAAGCATCCGAATTGAGAAAGCATCCGAATGGAGAAAGCATCTGATCTTTTTGACGGTGTTCGGCCCTGTGGTACCCGAAGTTCCGAATCTTTTTCGACGATTCGGCTGTGTTCGGTATGCGCATGCGCAGTCAAACTATAGAATTATTCCGGCTCCCTTAAACAATCGGGCAGTCAGTGCTATATCCCCCAAATTCCGAATTAAATCAAGCGACTACATGTACATACGACGTCCCTGCACGTACAATATGTTTGGTCTCCATACCCTGTGCACTTATTTAGTTTGTGTATTCGCGCATGCGCAATGGTGATATAATGGCCGTCGGCCCGAAAAATTATTCTAGCAGACGACGTATATCGGTGGTGACCCATGTGGGTAATTGTATTGTCATTTCCCTTGAAGATCTCGTGTGTGGATAAACTGCCAAGAGTCTATCAAATAGCGTCTGGTGGAAAAAATCGCCGGGAAAAAAATCAAAGCAAGTGGAAAATGTCAATTTGTCGACAAAGTATAATTATGAAATTTTTTTGTATTTTTACCTAGTTTTGTGTCCAAATTTCACACTTTTGTCGAATTCCCCTGAGATAACCGGTGATACTGTCTGGAAGACTGATAATTGTTTTGTATCTATCAGTTCAGTAAAGCCGGTTCTTCTCAGAACCACACATACTCACAAAAGAGAATATTGTACATGGTGTAACCGCAAAAATCCTTAACTAATTGTCGATCCGCCATGCAAACTTTCAAGCGCTACCTATCTATCAGTTTTTTTTTTCAAGATCAAGAGTCTGAAATGCACTACCGTAGTCGATGGCAAGCAAATACGTAGGTCAGGGGACAGGGATATACAAGCTGGACAGACATGACTACGTATCGTGACAGAGTGTGGCCTTGAACAACACGTAGAGGCGAGTCTGATAAGAATAACTTACGTGACTGTAACGAGTTGGTACAGTAGGCATGGTCGGCTAAAGTAATGGGTTGAATTTTACAGCACAATCATTCAGGAGTTGATCCTTATAAGACTTCCACAAATACCTTTTTCCTTGCTCTCTGGAGCGTGCTGCCGCAAAGAATTATGGGGCGATCTTATTACACGTGCGAAACAGGCGAAGAATGGAGTGCGACGATCTGAAACCGAGTTTACCTAATCCTAAACGAAAGCTTGAGTGAATGTAAATTTACCTGGATTAAACAACTCTGAAAACCAAATTGTAGTATTTTCACTAAAAGTACCAAGATGTTCGCTTGAGAAACTGTGTTGTTAAATACGTTCATTGATCTGATAGATCTGGAATGAACTGTGTGATCATTGTTGTTTGTGTTGGATTCAAGACTCAAATGGCAGAACTGTGAGTTATTACTGAGCGTTTAGGATTCGTTTATGAAGTCCTGATAGACCTTGAGATTGAAATAACAAAATTAACTGTGGACATAATAAAGTCTGTCTGTTTTTTGTCGCAATCTGAAAAGAGACATATTTCAAAAGAGAGCCGCCACGCAGCCATACGTGTAGGTCTACTCTCCTATCAACATGCCCGACACTTGCAACTTGCCTGTCAGCCTATCTGCTGATTTACTGACTACGCTTGTCTGCAACACAACTCTCCTTTATACATGTATTGTCCGTAGTCCGAAACTTTCCACCTCTTCTCAACAGGCAATAACACGATCTTCATTTTTTCACATTCAGGGACACTAATTCGGGTTTCCCTTCCTCGGACACGCTCCATTTTTTTAAAATAATCGATACACAGTTTGTGCATGTAAACAACATCCCTCTTGTTCTTCGGGTTTCTAGTCTGTTTTGAGTGGCTGATGGTTTCCCTACACCAGAGTATGCGCCCAAAGAAAACTGTCTGTGCTAAATCAGACTGAAACAGCGCTGCCTGTTGACTCTCGGAAAAGGCTGGCCTCTGTTTTCTCCACTGGAAATTCAAGATTATGGCCAGAATATCACTTTTCGTTTCAGTTTTATGGGGGCTAACCAAGTGAATTATTTTTTTTATTCGCCTTTCCCCAAACTTAGATACCCCCAAATAATTAGTAAAACCATGCGCTCAGCTCTTAATGTAGCCTCCCGCCTCTATCCCAAATAAGCCTGCAGTTTTGGGCTTTTTTGAAAGAAATACTCCGAACTGAAAACTACCAGTTCCAATGTCGGAATTTATAGAAATGTTTCTATGATTTCTACTGGTTGTGCCTGTTTTATTCTAACAACACGTGGGATCACAAAATACGAACGAGCTCGCGCTCAGAAATCCAACAATTTGGTAGAATGTGCCCTGGTAGAAATTTAGGAAAAGAGCCGGGGAGTATGATAAGTCTGGGAACCAAACTTTGATATGCGCCCTCTTGTGTTGAAAAGTCCTGGCCGAAAAAAGGAAATGCATTGAGTTGTGTACAAAATACGACGAATTTAAAGCCGGATTTCTCCCCTTTTGTACCCTTTTGGCACAATACCAACATCAACTGTTGAATTTTTCATAGTTCGAACTATGCACATGTGGATTTTCCTCTGGTTTCAAAGTGGTTGCCACGAGATGATAGAGAAATCAGGTGCGTTTCATGGCCTTATGGAAGAAAATAACCCAAACGCCTTTGTCACGGCTAATATTCATTATTTCATCACGAAGGGCACTTCAAGATTATATCACTCAGGATTGAAACTGTAGAGATTTTTGAAAAATTAAAGATTTTATCATTTTAGCTTCCGGTCTGAGACGTCATCAGTTTCAAAATTCACACATGCATTGTCTGCGTGGAGGTTACTGTATCTTCAATTTTTCGACTAATTAAATCAAACTTCTCACAGACATCATCGTTGAAAGCAAATTCTTGTCAATTACCAATTATTTTGAATTACAAGGCACTTCCGTCTCCGACCGGAAACACGGGTCAGGTAACTTTAAATAAAGACTTAATTTTTTTACAATCAAAATGGGAGATAAGGTATCTCTTGGTTTTACAGAGATTCAAAAGTATTAAAAAATGTGTTGCTTGCAATTCGACACCTGATGACGTCACAACGGATCGGGTCAATGGGTGCGTTCGATTAGCTTATTCGTGTAAGTCAAACTTACACAGAGCGTTCGTTTAGCCATCACCTGATCACGTGATCTTCGTGCCTGTCCTGGTGTCAGCCACCACTACCCCGGCTGGCGAGCCGGTCTCTGGAGGCTGCCCGAGTGTAATTACGTCACGGATGGACTGTTCATGCGTGGACATGATGGAACGTTGCGGGGACTTGAGCTTTTTGGAAGCGACTTAATAATAGCCCGTGAAACCTGGTGCGCTACTTTTTTTCAGTAGCTGGGGTTACCATGATTCATGAAGAGGGGACAATGCAATACACCATTTAACACATTTCAAAAAGGGGAATCCATTACGTCGCTTCGATAGCTTAGTTGGTAGTGATTTGAACTGCAGATCCATAGTCCCTGGTTCGAATCCGACCCATTTGTGCTATTCATTTTCCAATTTTATCATTGTGTTTGGGATTTCCTTTTTCAATTGATGCAGAAACAGAGTCCAAGCATGAACCCTCTAAGAGTCTTGAGAAAAACAGCAGAGCAGGTTTCACGGGTTAGTATCTAGTCACTTCCGACCTTTTTCCCAGAAAGCCTTGGCGAATACACTGCAGCGTTCGATTATAGCCTCATTTCGAGGCTTCCCTTGCGTATAAAACTGGTGCATTCAGGGAAGCTAATCGAACGCACCCATTATAGAGTTTCAAGTTCATACGTAAAAACGGTGAAAAAAATGTTTGAAAAGAAAGATTTAAACGAACAAAAATAAATAGGTAACAAGACCGGGTTGCTGCTTATTAACTCGAGCCGAGGTTTCATATAACATCCCAAAAGTGTTTAAAATTGGTCAGACAGTGCTTCAACCCTTTAAGGTTGGCCACGTGACGGGTTCTTGACCAATAGGAATTGCGGAAATTTCTTAGCCAGTTATCAATTCTGAATTAATTTTTGTTGTTTTACCTTTCAAGTCATCCATTATGATTTCTCCTGGTAGTTCTCGGCAGGTGTGGAGTAAATGCGCAGTGCTACAACTGCACATACATCGACTTTGGTCAAGCGACCTCCGGTCCAAAGGGGTGCATCGACCCGTTCATGCCGAGTGGTATCGACCAGGTACCATGCAGCGGCCAGTGCATGGTAAGTTGCACAGCTACATGCGTAACCTTTTCCCTGACGAAAAATCAAAATTATGCACGCATGCGCGTACAGGAGAATGGTGGCAAAGAGTGTAAGTGACTCATGAAAATACACCAAACGGGTGCAGCCATCATGCATGGTATAGGGCCTACTCTCTTAGATTCTCGGAGTTTACTTTATACCTTTTTATATTGTCCTATTAATTGCTTTCTGGTGGTGGGGGGGGCGCATGGAGCCGACGACGAAGAGGGGGGTTGTGTAGGTAATTGCAGGTGGCACAGTGGGGACAATGGCAGGAATGGTTTCCTGGGCTGGGAGTAGGCGAGACTGGGTGGAGGGTGGAGCTAAAAGACATTTTCTCAAGGCTGCGACCACTGCAGAACGCCCAAAATGGTTGAGTTCGGAAGATGTGGGAGGTCATCATGATGCGGTCAGCTTGGAGTTTATTGGCGCCATCTTCAGACTGGGGAGGCTGACACCTGTTGGTTTGAATGTGGAATTCTCCACATTCAAACCAGCATTCCACACCATGGGGAAGACCCAGTAGGGTCGAAAACTAGGCTCAACTAAATGTTAAAGAGCAACTCTAATGAAAATATGTTTTCTCAGAATTTATCTGTTCAAATAAATAGGGAAGCATAGAAATCGAACGGAGTGCCATTTGTCTTCAGAGCTCACAACTATAACAAGCTAAAAAGTGCTTTTTTCTGTTCATGCCATGATGCGAATTCTGAATGTAGATTGCGTCATTCTTAGAAAACATATAAAGCGAGGGGAACCCTCACCTTGTGTTGGTAGTGGATAATTCTCTTGGGCACGCCAAACAATGGCCAAGGGTTTATCCACTATGAACACAGGGCGAGGGTTCCCCCTCGTTTTCTCTGTTTCTCAGGATGACGCAATCTACATTCAGCATGTTCAGAATTCGCATCTTGGCATGAACATGAAAAAAACCCTTTTTAGCTTGTTATAGTTGAGCTCTGAAAACAAATGACACTGCGTTCGATTCGGATGTTTCCAATTTACTTGAGCAGATAAAAATCAGAAAAAAATGTTTTCCTTAGAGTTGCTCTTTAAGCACTGTTCTTTATTTCCACATCCTTCATCCTTTACATTTGCTTTTATCTATTCCTGTTTTACCACCATTTTAGAAAGCAACAGTGGTTTTCAAAGCTTCACAGTACAGTCCCGCTTGGACCTCGACGACACGCACTTGTGCCAAGCCAGGTGAACCGTGTGTGGAATTGGAAGGGTTTACGATTGAATCCACAACTTCATCGGTGTGGTGTTGCGATGGGGCGTCGTGCAACGGTCAGGGCACCGTCGGATTCAGCGTGCCTCTTACTGTGTTCTCCATGTTGACAGCGGCGCTGCTTTTCTGTTAGCTTGACTTCAGACATTGCCGTTTATGCATGAAAACTGTCAGTGTGGTAGCATACTCACGGTCTTCTTTTAAATTTTTAAATATTTTTCACAACGTTTCAATATAAAATATTAGTCTTATTAACTATACTTCGGGACGCTCGATGGCGGCGAACTAATACCGGCCGCACCCCGTCACTGACCCACCATTGCTTGCGTCATTTTGACAAGCGCTCATTAGCTCGAACGTGACGCAAAGAAATTGTGGAGCAGTTGCCTGGGACGGGAATGTTTGCCGTTACCAACACGAGTGTCCCTAAACTCTTACGCACTGGACCTCGAAGACGCAGTTCAACCGGGGGTAATACCCATCATGGAAGGAACTACATTTTGTTTGGAGGAAAGGGGGATTAGGACTGGAACATTGTTTTCTTTACGTTGGAAATTCAAAGTGCCAGAAGGGGGCAGTGACTGATAGAGTGAATGTTATGCAGGAAATTTTTGTCAGCAGTACTAACCGTTCCTAAAATTGTTATATTCTTCGATCAGCTTCAAGGAGTTCATTACTAGCCTCTGTTCCAACGTAATAGACTTTATCTCACACAAGCGTACACGTGCATGTTTACGTATGCATCTTTTTCTTAGACATTTTTTTCCCTGCAACTTTGTACTTTTCCTTATTGAATGAAACTCTGTCACATTCCTCTTTAATTAAATGTATTGAAAAGCGCACTTTCGTAAAAACTTCAAATTATCCACGCTCTTCTTCCAGACAATTGAGGGCGCTGTTGCCTTGTCATGCTGGGAAGACGTATTTCACTGCATAGATTTTTCGCTTCAAATTGTAAAGCAAGGATTAACTTACCAAAAACATTTCTGAGAAAGGGGTTGATACTTGCTTATTTCTGTGCACATAAATAACAACTGATCTGTTCAGTAACTTAGTTCAGCAAAGTCTACGAATTGCAGGACTTTTGTTCACAAACCAATGTAACATTGAGGATTTCGTCCTGAAATTACGTCACCGTTTTGCTCATGAATATGGATATACTCGGCATAAAAACAATAATGTAGTCAAATACACGTTTGAATTAGTGAAGCAAGATTAACTCAGACACGAGGGTGCATTTCGAAGGTTGTCGTACAACAAATTGATTGCAGCTACCCTTTAATGCTGCGCACTCTCCTGGAACTAAACGATATACCAGTGAAAGAAAAATCTTTCTGATAATAGATTAACCATGGAGGAATAAAAACACATCGATTAACCAAAGAATGCATAGCCGTAAGGTCCACGCTTGCTGCTTGCTGTCCGCTCTGAAGTTTCATGGAGCACAAACTAGTTCAATGTGTAGATTTTCGATGCAACGTGCTGTATAAAGTGTTGATTGGCTATGTAGGAGCCTGTGAATTAAATTAAATTTCAGTTTACACCCCTCCTTCTGAAAGGTGTTCATCATCCCTCAGCCTGTATAGTTGTGAAAAGCGTTATAAGACAAGACGGGTCCAGTGCGTCTCATTGGTTTCTGCTACAGCAATGCAACGTAGTAGGTATGGAATCATAATAAAACATCTTTGATTTCAACCGTTTCACTGTCACGGTAATGTACGATATGTCTGAACTAATGCCATGCTAGTTTAAAAATCTGCCTGTCCGGGTCTGATTTTTCTTGAATACGAAGAGAGGAGAACATTGTTTGTGGGTACATACAGTAATTGGTACGATCGCTGCGGGGAACGTCTCAAAGCATCGAGCAGTGCGCTCTGTCCGTTTGGGGGGGGGGGCGTTTCAATAGGAGCAAATAGTCCAGTCCGCAACGTGGTGTAATGGGCCAAGTTAATACTTTAAGGAACTGCCTACACAGGAACTCGTGATTGGAAAGATATAACCGGATTAGGCTTTATTCTTCTTGTCACCATGGACACACAATAAACAAACAAACGATTGACTCGGCGCCATGTTGCAGGAAGCGCCGTACTCCCAGCATTCCTTACGACACAAAGTCAAGGGCCATCCATCTAATATGTAAATGAGGTAAACGTAATATGCAAAGTAGTCCGCTACAGTGGTATGGGGTATATACCCCCCTCATATATTGGGGGTGGACCATTGAATCGCTCCAGTTATCAGGGAAAGCAAAATAAATAATAATAAATAAACAAAAATAATTTTTGGGCTTCCCAGCGACAAGAATGCATTTAAGTTCAATGTCACTCAAAAAAGAAAAGCATTTTTATAAAGCCATAAATACACGTTTGCCTTTCCTACGNTAATAAGATTCTGCATGAATATAATGCATAAATGCACATCAGTATCACAAGTATAGGTAGTGTGTCACATAGTGTCATCCACCCCTCCGATTTCTCGTTTCAATGGCCGGGTAAGTCACTTCCCCATCCCCGGCACGAAATTTACGCCACTGTGAGCAGGCTGCTTCCCAGTGCAAAAGAGATTTTGCCCACGGTGTACCTTCAAACGGTGTTCTCTGCGTACGTGTGCACAGTTTTAGAGTTGGGGGCAATAAAAGTTCAGAGGTCCAGGCTGGACCAGGAATCGAGACGCCCCTCCTTCCTTTGACATGAATTGCAGGGTTTCTTGCAAGTTACTAATGAAACCACTGCTGTGCTAAAAGTGCAAATATCGGGCATGAACTTTGTATTCCTTTAGGATGAGACTAATTATGTATCAGTCGTTCGCAGCAAGGCTGAACCCTACGGCAGAACAGCCTCCTATCCTGTCCTGAATGTTGCGCGTATGTTTTCTACCTTTGCGTGACTGACGATAACTCATTTGGGGATCGCTGGTTGGTTTTGTTTAGAAAAGCCCATGGAGAAAACTGGGAAAAGCCAAGACATGACCAAAGATCGTATAGCGCCGCGAAGCGGCGCCTTTTCTTAACCGTATCTTTGCACATGACCTTGGTGCGAGCAAGCGCCTCAGTCGATTGGAGGGCGTTAGATGGCGCACTGTGAACGATCATCTGTTATCGAGGACCGGGGTCTTTGGGCCAAGACTTCGGTTTGTTGGGAGACGTCTATGAATACGAGCGATTCGCAATAGTGCGCCACCAAGAGTTTGCAACACATTGGCGCGAAATTTGTCGACCCTTTCCAAAGGATGCACCCTCGCAAAAGGCCCTAAATATGTCCGCCGAGCTCATTAATAAAAGTTATACACACAAAATATTCTATATTAGAGAGTCCTGAGAGCCATGAAATTGAGGAATTTTAGAAATATGGCACTGAACCCCTGGCCCGGACTCTGGGCTTCAAATTCTGAGTAATTTGGATGCAGTTGGGTCCGAAAATGGCACTATTTCGCTGTTTTGCAGACGGAGGGATGGTTTTTCAAAATGGCTACCTTTCTGGGCAGGGACATTTTCTTCATTTTAGGGGTGGTCTGCTTCTGGTGAAAATTTCTCAAAAATTCATTTGTCAACCCCCCGAAAATGAAAGGAAAATGAAAGGGGACATGATATGTCGATCATCGTATTTCTGTGCAGCCTGGACACCTGTGAGAGTTGTGAGTATTTTTTAAATTATTGCAAAGTGTGGGGATTTATCATTGCAGTCTATGGGAATTTATTTGTAGTGGTGCACCCCAAACGTGCAAAGGGTCGACAAATTCCGTGCATTGTGATTGGCCAACGTGTTGCAAACTCTTGGTGTCGCACAATTGTGAAACGGCCGTGTGGCGTATTAAATCACTTGTCACCGTTGCTAGTGTGGACTGTAGAAAGCGTGGGATCCTTCTTGACGTGATAGTCCAATATTGATAAAGGCCTCTTCGATTCGTTTAAAAACAAGAAGGCTTTTTGTACGGTGGCACACGTGCACGTGGAGGTAAAAATAGTAGTTACTAAGCATACTGAGCGCTGGTGGTCGCATTAATCCATTTATTTTCACGACTTTGCCATGTGTATCAAGACGACAACACTGACGTACTGTCTGACTGTCATGACTGTAGGCCCTACGTGTAAGAAATTAGTCCCTGAGGAATGACTGACAAGCACACCTAGTACCTACGTGAGTTCGTGATATGGAGGCATGCAGGAAGGACGTATGGAGTAGGTACAATGTTTTTTGCTTTTATTATTCCACACTTATACTTTACAGGAATGAAATTCATTGGCCTACATGTACATCATGTAGTCCTTGAGACCATTGTGATGGAGAAAGGAAAAGACCATATGTTGAGGCTAAGGACCATGTTGACATGGTTGAAGAAAAGGCAAGTTTTCTGCTATTAACCTGGCGGATAGTCTACCCCATATATAAGTAGTGAACATACCAGTGCAGTTTCAGTTCATAAAATCAAGCGGATGTTTAGTTAGGCCTATGCCCCCGGATATCCTGGATAAAGTCTAGGAATTGGGACAGGGCCCAGTATATATGACGGAGGAGTATACGTCCGGCCAGCCGGCCGCCCTGCAACCTTGCTGTAGGCCTTAATCCATGATCATGCAGGCCTATGCATACATAACAAAATTCTCGAGTTTACACACTTGCTACTGTCACTGTGTACTGAGTTCCAAAGCCTTTGCATCAGTGACGTATTGTATGATTCCATTTTTTTTTTAAAGTGCAAATGGACGCTTTGATGATGTACCCACAGTGAAGATTCAAGTAACTACTAACGTTACATAATAAGCCTACTTTTCTGAAATATTAAAATTTGTACATGGATGGAGGAAGGACACAAACATTTAGGGGTAACATTGTTCTAGAACTTTGAAGAACTTCTTATGTGGGATGTGGGTCTATTTATTCAAGTAAGCCACAAATACATGTAGGGAGCAGTCTGCTGACTTTGGGCCCATTTCTGGATGCTGTCATCTTTAAATTTCAGGTTTTTAAATTTCATGACAGCAAAATCGTTCACAGAGGTGATCAGTAGCATGTATTTTAAAGGTTATAATTTACTGTTACTGAATGAATCCAAAGTTTTTCAGCAAAGAGGTTTGGCAGTGATGCATGAGGAAAGTCAAGGAAACGTCGAAGAGTGGCACAATTAAGAGACTCAACTTCATTAGGGCCAGGTTAAGGGACTATACATGTACCTCCGTATATGTGTCCCTACTCCTGAACTAGAAACAAGTGGAGGAAGGCTTAAACACTGGGATAAAGCTCCCCGGCCGTGAACGGTATCAACCGCATACAAGTATTTCTCAGCCTTTTTGATTAATTCACCCAGCAGTTTATCATGTTCAATTTGCCCAAATGGCAAATTCCTGGCCATCGTGCCTGTTGGTGCATTATATGTCATCTCGATACCATAATTTTGTTACAACTGTGATCTGCTCAAGATCTTCTCTGTTGCGGTGATCTCTGAGAACGTTAATTACTGCACACCACATTAGGTGCGTTCAACTAGCATCTATCATGTGTTTGAGTGAATCTATTTTTAACATAAGAGTAGCTCCCCTTAGGCTTTCATGCCTGTGAGAGTATGTACAGTAGTATACCAGTTCAGTCATTGCAAAAGTTTAGGACCACTCATGCAAAATGCGTCAACCTGAAAAAAACAAAAACAAAAACTTAAACCAATCAATCATGGCAACTTATGTTTATTTTCAGTATGTAACCTTCATATCTTGGTTAAACAGTTATTTGACTGCATTTCCATGATTTGAAATGTTAAAAGTTTAATGTTTAGTGCGTCCTCCTTTTCTGTGACTACTTAGACTTTATTCCGATTACTTTTTTACCCATGCTGCCGTACAGACAAAATATCGTACAAGAACCTTACAACAAAATTCATTAAAATGGGTATACAGATAGCACTGCTACAGTGATGTTATGCACCAGTCAACGAGACAATGTAATGCAGGCCCAGTGACAGAAATACCAATAAAATTCCAGGTGGTCTTAAACTTTTGCAAATTCCTTCCATTTTTTGGGCCACATACATGTACACCGTACGTGTCGTGTGGCTATGATACTCGGTGAAGCAGATACATGTACATGTGTCAGAAGAGACAAGTCAACTTATTGTCCCACGTAACTGGAGTGTGGTTTTCTGCTGGAGTCCTGTGCTAAAGTCAATGATGTAAGTCTGAGTGTACATGTACATGTATCCTTATAAGTTCTGTTTGACACACTGTGCTGGTAAATGCTAACAAAGCCGGGTTATTTCGGACCATGTGACTTGTCACAGCTGGCAGTGTGACTCAGCCGTCCCATGCTTCATTTTGTAAAAATTAGGTGCACTCAATCTAACATATTGTTTTGTTATGATGGTCCGAAGTCAAGACCGCACACGCTGTATGTGCCGGCCCGCCTAGATGTACATGTACATGTACATGTACATTGAGCACAGCAGTGGCGAAGTATAAAGTTTTGGCTGATGTGTGATTCCCAGCTCTTTTTTGGTTGAACTTTTTGTTTGTGGTTTTCAAGTATTATTTAATTTTTCAGCTTGGTCATTTTGTTTTTAAGGGTTGATCAGTTTTGGGGGTTTGGTACATATACAGTGTAGAATTGTTGTGTGAGTCCCTATTGATTCAGTTCCCTGCAACTTTGCCGTTGAACATTCTTCAGTTAGTCTGAGTTTCTCTTATTGTAATAGCTTGCCATGTTGCAGGTCTGCCTAGTAATCTAACGCACCCTACCGGTATATGCCTGCATTGCATTGGCACACTTTGATGTTGGACCCCACACCTGCATACACACCTGGCAACTGGCAGTCAGTTAAGAGATGACTGGACGACAGAGACATGTAAGTCTGGATATGACATCATTCTGTAAATGACACCTGCTAACCCTTCTGATTTGATCGCAGTTAGCCAGCTGTAGTGGCTTCACCCGCCACCCATTAAAGGGGAAAAAGGGGAGAAGACATTTTTTGAAGGGGGGAGAGGCTGTGTGGGGTGGAAAGCAATGGAAGGTGTCATGTCACTGTGTGTGTGGGAGGGGGGAGATAGGGTCAGGAAAATCAGGCATAAATTGAATTAAGTATCTGCTTCAGCTGAAAATCTTTTCTTATTTAAAATAAAGTTGAAGTTGCCACTTGGTGCAGCCATCAAAAGAAATGTACGGTTCTGTGTTAATTTCTGTTGTCTTAGAGAACTAAACTAAAAACTAAAGAGACTGCACAGTGCCTGATGTTACACACTTTGTAGACGTGATGACAAAAATTTGAGATCATAACCGACGGTAAACCTGTCTTGGAGTATACACGTAATTTCCCAAAAAATTTACTGATGGAAGCCACAATGTTGAATCTCTGAACAGTTTTTTGCAGCTCCTTAAAAATAGCAACATGAAAGTGAATGTTTGTCTTGTAAAAAGAAAATGTTTTATTATAAATGGGTGAATTAGTTCAGTAATTTTATGAATTATTTTAATTTCACAGATCAAGCCCTTACTGTCATAATATCTGCTCTTGGAACATTGATGAAGGTCCAAGCAAGGCGGTCAGATTGTGGAATCAACGAGGGCCAGCAGTCTGCAACCTCTAGAAGAAGTTTTAAAAAAGGATGAAAACTGCATGTATCACTTTGCAAATAGTGATCTTGGCCCTAACCCCGCCAGATGCGGCATACTGCAGCAGAAGTAAAAGTCTGATGCACCATAGCCGTGTTCCCATTGGACTTTTTTCCGCAGGCACAGGAAAACCTACTGCGACATTCCTTCATGTCAATCTACCGCGCATTCCCACGTGGACTTTTTTCCAACCGTAACGGAATGTTTATTCGCTGCGTCAGGCTGCTCTACTGCTGTACTGCACGCATGGAGCTGGAGGCTGGCGACAACTGTTTTCTCTGTGTAGGCAGGAGTCTGGTTTGTATGTTTAACGTGGTTGCAGTCAATCTGCATTGTATGGGAACTGCTCCCATTGGACTTTTTGCGCCCCTGCTAACTTACCCTGGCTGTGGCTTTTTGGCCTGTTAGTTTTACATTGCGATCGCGGTAAGTTGACAGGGACGTTAGTTTACCATGTGTTCCCATTGGATTTAATTTTGTAATTCTACAGGATCGTCGCAGTAAGTTAACCAGAAAATGTCCAATGGGTGCACTCCTTTTGATGCACTGGGCAATCCAAAGCAGCCAAACAAACTGGTCATGTTGAGAGAGCTGGTCTCATTGAACAAGGACACAGTTGGATCTTGTGGTGACTGGCAACCACAGACTCCCAGGCTGTTTGGCCTCGGGAAGAGTTGACCTGTAGGATCTTGTTACATACATGCAGGGCCAACAAATTACTTTGACAAATGATGCAGACTGATGTGTCTGGCCGGGTTTCTAGCCAAACAACCCTGAACAGTTAGGGTTACATATTGTGCTTGTTTTATTTATGAGACTGGTTTTGGAATCATTCAGACTAATTGACAGAAATGAGGCCTTTCTATTTCTCCAGTCCAGTCAACTTTTTTTTTATTGTTGAGGGCACTTGTTGGCAAGTGGATAGGAGCAGAGATGGTAGTGAGAGTGGAAGAAACCTGTGCTGTCCATCCAGGAGGAGTCTGTCTTCTGCCGTGACTGTAAGTTGTCTTTATAAGTATTGAAGATGATGTTGAGGCCGTACATTGATGTCACAGAGAGATGCACAAAGTAATGTCAAGGCAGTATTGAAGATTTCAAATACAGACACTCAAGCCAATTAGGGTCCTAAGATATTACCTGAACCAAATCACTTCCAGGTTTGACAGGCTTGACAATCACCATCGTGCAGTTAATTATGTGTTCATTTGACCCTAAAAGAACAAGAGAGTAGTTAGAATCTGCCCCCTCAAGATTTTTTTTCTGATATCGCCACAGCACAGTAGTTGAGCCTTCAGGAGTTTTTCAGTAACTCTTTTGTGGTCGTTTTGACACCAATTCTGTGAAAATTGCACATACTTGTATCTTTCTCCTTACAAGCACCCCTTTTTCCTGACAGAAAAATTCCAAAAGAAAAAGAGAAGCAATTCTGGTCCGAGCCAATTTGGCTCATCAGGCCGGTGTTTATCTCCGGTTTCCTTGGCATGAAACGACTGATAATTTTTCTATTCCCCCCCCCCCCTGGATGGGATGCCAGTCCATCGCGGGTTGCTTCCCAAGCTAATGCTGGTACCCATCTATACTCCTGGGTGGAGAGAGGCAAGCAGGGGTGAAGATGCTTGCCAAGGACCCCAACATACTGCCAGCAGCTGGATTCGAGCCTCCAATCCTATGGTTGGAAACCATAGATCCTAACCACTTGCCCACATGAAAGAGGTCAGCCATACTTGTCCATTTTTTTACAAGCCAAGCCTTTAGTTTCAGATAGCAGCTTTTTACAGTCACTTTGAAACAGTTCTGTGAAAAATCACACACGCTGTTCTCATGCAGCACCCACTTACCCGAAACAGGCCAACCAAAAAAGGGACCTGCACTTCCAACTGCTATGCTAAGTGCACACGGTGGCTGGTACGCGTGTAACCTTCAAGTTCAAATGACCGTATCAACTATTACGTTGAAGTGGCTATGTCAGATTGATTTGAAACTCTACATTTGTATTGATAAGGAGTGTTTTAGATGCACGCTGAGTGTTGAAAAAAATCGGGCTTGGGACGGTCAAGATCTCAGCTGTGAGATGGTACAAAATAACCCAGCAACTTCAAGGTTAACACTGGAATAAAATTGACAGAACTTGATGACATTGATTGGTTTCTCCTAGCAATCCTGGCAGGAGGAATTTCTGTTGTGTTTGCTGCATCAGAGGCTCTGCTAT